ACATCACACAAACATGACATTAGTTCTTTTATTTTTCTTATTTGTTTAACTATTTCGTTTTTCAAGCCGTTGTACTGTTATTAATATGTGTGAAAGCAGTTAATGGGAACAGTGAGCTACGACTGCAGCTTTTATTGAAGTTCACTGGTGCGAATCCTGAGCAAAAACAAGAAAAATGACCTCAGCTTTGATTCTGATATTTTAGAATTTGTCTTTTTCTCTGCTTATCCTCATGTTTCCCAAAATTCTCAGTTTGTCTTCTAAAGAATTTCCAAACTGAAGAATGTCACATGTTTTAAATCTGGGTCTCTCTTTATCAAACACAAATCTCTAATCTAATCGTTGACTGTGGTGCAGTATTTGCTGCTTTTTAGAATAATTTTAGCTCCTCGGGTAACGATTGAATAAACGCTCATGAATTTAGTGGCTTTGTTTTGTTAGTTTTTACAGCCCTTGTTAAAAATGTGTCTACAATATTTTAAATAATTTTAAATTGAATTAAAACATTTAAATGATCTTTTTATTTTTATTAAAAATATTAATTGAATTTTTTTAATTTGCAAAGGATTTTACTGACCATCTGCAGTACTTCCATGGGGCAGCAGAGGGCAGTGTCGCAGTCTTTTTCAATGTATCAGAACACTTTATTATTCCCAGATGACATTACGTGGTCACAGTTGCTCCAAGACGGGAAGGACAGGGATCTTCTTCTTTTCTGATCTCTGCATCTTTTTTCTGATTTTGCAACAGTTTTCCCACCAAAGATGGTGCAAACATAGGTCGGATAAACTGAATACTGAGTCATTACAGTGCCTCAGTTTTTGTTCAGTTATAAACACTTGGTAGTAACATTTTAAACTTTTCACTTAAAAAAAAAAAAGATTCTGCTTGCAGGAATCTGAAAGCTTCATCCATGAAATTCACTACATGATTAACAAAATTTGTTGTCCTTTCATTCTCTGGAGTAATTTGTGTGCGACTGCTGTAATATCAATAACAAAAGTTAATTGATTTTTAAATCAAATTTCCTGATGAGTGTTAGTAATAAAATGAGGATTTAAGTGCTGAAACCTAAACTGGGACTGATCTCAGCTATTCTGCTGAATCAAAGACGATAAAAAGCTGAAACTGTAAATCGGAGCTACAGCATGCTCTGAGGGTCGCTGACATCCCTCCACCTCTACCCTCGCTGTTCATTTCCCACAGAAAAGACTCCAGACATCATCTGTGGAGCATTCACGTCTTGTTGGTTCAGCAGGTTTCTCGAGTCTCTTTGGGTGTTTTTAATAACTGAGCTGATGACGACTCTGTTGTTGCAGGGTTGCATTCCCACCATGGCTCGAGCGGTGGTCGTGAACGCTGCTCAGCTGGCCTCGTACTCTCAGTCCAAACAGGCGCTGCTCGATTCAGGTGCCCAACACACGCACGCACACACTCACGCACGCACACCGTCTTTCAGTGACGCACACTCTTCATCAATATGTTTGTGTGTTCTCAGGTTACTTTAGAGACGATATTCTGTGTCACTTCTGTGCCAGTATGATCAGTGGTCTGGTTACCACGGCAGCCTCGATGCCCGTCGACATCGTAAAGACCAGGTGAGACTGAA